AAGCATTTCATCTACTTTTACTTGGGTCAAGTGGCCATTCTGCTCTTCAAATCGGGCTGAGGGAACCGCTGTTGTTCATGAAAGTTGGACATCAACTCCAAACCTGGACTGTGACGCACTGATGGCTTGAGCCACACTCTACATACATACACACACGCTTACATTCTCTCCCATATACACATTCATGAATTTAGCTATAGAGGCTGTGCATAAATGCATGGACCGTGTATATTATTTAATTTGTATATGTTGCAATACAGTAACTTTTTTTGCTTTCTGTAGTTGCACGAGTTGACGCAACAAGATGATTTTTGTTAGTTTTTTCCAAGTCCAAATTTGTTTTGCACTGATGTTGTACAAGACCGCTGCCTTTAAATTATATTAAAGAATGATATGTCATACATATTTTGAGTATAAAGTGAATCTTTTTTTAAATTTTTTTTATTGTAGATCCAAACAGGATTGTCTGCATTCCGTTTCTAGTTAAAGGGTTATTTCACCCAAAAATTAAAATTCTTTCATTAATTACTCACCCTCGTGTTGTTCCAAACCCGTAAGACCTTCGTTCATCTTCGGAACACAATTTAAGATATTTTTGATGAAATTTGAGGGCTCTCTGACCCTCCCATAGACAGCAAGGTAACTACCACGTTCAAGGTCCAGAAAAGTACCAAGACGATCGACAAAGTAGTCCGTGTGACACCAGTGGTTCAACTGTAAAGTTACAAAGCTACGAGAATACTTTTTTGCGCAAAGAAAACAAAATTAACGACTTTATTCCACATTTTCGTCTCTGAGTCACTTGTGGACGCGCGTTCACGACAGTACCATTGGTACTTTTCTGGACCTTGAACGTGGTAGTTACCTTGCTGTCTATGGGAGGGTCAGAGAGCCCTCAAATTTCATCAAAAATATCTTAAATTGTGTTCCGAAGATGAACGAAGGTCTTACGGGTTTGGAACAACACGAGGGTGAGTAATTAATGACAGAATTTTCATTTTTGGGTGAACTAACACTTTAAGAATAATCTCTCTATTATTATCATTATCTTTATTTAAATGTTAATATTATTCAATGTATTTAATATTATAA